GGTGAAGGAAGAGTTTTCCAAAATTAGCAACAAAAGTATGGCAAATTTAATTTCCTAGATTTTGTCTATACGCACCTTTATACAAATCGATCTTCACGATGAAAAGCAGTAAATATCAGTTTTTATCGTGAAGATAGATTTGTATAAAGGTGCGTATAGACAAAATCTAGGAAATTAAATCTGCCATACTTTTGTTGCTAATTTTGGAAAACTCTTCCTTCACCGTGAAAAGTCAGAAAAGTCCCACTTATTTGGCTTATTTCTGATTTTGTACACCGTGCATCTTTCTTCCGGGATGAACAGTTGTTGATTGAACAACAGATGTTTCCTTCATATTGTGTCAAATGTGTTTTCAAGAACTTGTGCAACATTTTCGGTTATGATCGGTTTTGGTTAACCGAAACTGGTGCATGTCTATACGTAATAACTTACTTTCTAAACATCAGTAAGGACTTAGGAAAGGCGATGGGACCATAAATCAACTTCATAAAATTGTATATTGTATTAGTAAAGAAGTCGATGATTGGAACTTTGTTTAAGGTATATTTCTAGATATAAGCAAGGCGTTCGATTCGGTTTGGCATCGTGGTCTTTTACATAAATTAGAGAGTTATGTCATTAAAGGTGCGTTCATTGTTAAGTTGGTTTAAACTTATCTTTTCAATAGAAGAATTGTAGCTGTTGTTTTTGGACAAGTTTCCAGTGAGAAGATAATAAATGCTGAAGTGCCTATAGGCTCTGTTTTGAAACCGTTTCTACTGTATATAAGTAATATTGCTAATAATTTAGAGAATGTGTGTGAATTGTATACGGATGATCAAATACCTGGTTATTTTCATTTAATGTTAATAAATGTAAATCAATGTTGTTTACTAGAAAATCTCGTCTTGTATCTCTACTAATTGTGATAAATAAATTTCAGTTAATACAAGTTGCTGAACAACATTTAGGCATGATTTTATCTAAAGATATGTTGTGCACAAACATATTGATAGACTTAAAACTAAATTTTTTACTTGGACTGATGACATTAACCAAATTGATATTAAGTAGACGTGCATTTTGATAAAATTTATTAATCTTTTGCTCTATCTCCTTTAAACTATGGGGCAACATTGTATTCATTAACAACTGATGGCAATCTGTCTAAACTTGTTTGTGTTCAGAACCGACCAGCATGATTAGCTTACTGGTCCAATAACTAGAAGATTAGCAGTTCTTGTATTAAATGATTTGTATCGGTTACCAACTAGCACACATTTTTTGTGTAATGAGATTGATTTTGTTCTTTCGCATTATTCATTGTTATGTATGACATATTCTCCACTATTTGAGAGAACATGTCGCGCTACACTTTAATCATATATCATATCAACTGAAGTTCCATAAAAGACGCCAGTACATTATTCGAAATCTTACAGGTAGATTATTAAGTAATACATTTTTTGCCAAAGTACTGATTGAATGGAATGAAATTCCCTTTAAAATTCGTTCAACGGACAAAACTTCATTCTTAAGGAAAAGTTATTGAAGTATTATTATGATTTAAATGCATTTTGCGTTGTTGTTTTAGTTTAAATGTACCTAGACGACTCGAAATGATAAATACGCGTTGTTGTTTATATTTTTCCACCTTTAAAATACTGCTTAAAGATGAAAAACATTGTAAAAATTGGTGATTCTGTGTTATTATAAAGGAAAACTTTTAAATTGTTCTTCCTATGACACCTGCAGACACCAGTTGTTCACTTCACTCTCATTTCATGTTAATATAAGCTTAAAAATGTTGATGTTAAAATAGAATCTTACTACAGGGAATCTAATCATTATGTATGAAGCTCCTCTTCAATATATTAATATATACATAGATTTTAGTTTAAAACTGATTCCCATCTGCCAAACAAAAACATGATTTATTTTTTCATTTTCCACGTTTACTTCACGTTTACGTCTTTTCATTTTTTCTGTTGCTACTGTAGTTATTTATTTTTTATTTTTTTTTCCTTTGCCCGTGGTTCCATTTTGTATTTTTATTTTCTACCCGTTTTTTCTTTATTCTTTCTGCTTTTTTTTTCCTTTTTGCTGTTCTGCTGTCTAAAGAGTTAAATTACTCATATATCATCATAATATTTTTTTGTTATGTGCTTTCTACTATTATCAGTACTTAACATCAAATTGTGGTCTGCATGTAACAAGACTTTTAATAAATAAAGCTTAGAGAAAATGCTGTAGTGACGATGCGATGATACATCACTGTTTACAAAAGTAAAGAACTTTCATTTTGAATGATTTTTGGATTTTGAGAGAACTGAAAATTCATATGTATCTTTCAATCGATGCAAAATGGACAATAAAACGTAAATAACACTCAAATGACAGCTAAAACAGGCAGAAAGTTAAAAAAAGATCATATTTTGTTAATAAGTATGACACGTTTCTCAAGGGAAAGTGACGTTATACAAAGTACAGGACGAAAAGAATTTCGCTATAATGAAAAGCAGGTAAGTTAACTACAGAAAGCAGAAACCAGGGCAGTAAATAACGGGAGGGTGTGGATGGGTATGCACCCTCCCCCCGAATAACTGAAAAAGCTATTGTTATTTTATCCATTATTCCTCGCACAAAATTTTTTTTATAAATTGCACACTACCTTAAAGAGAAATTTTGTTCTCTCTCCCCCCAGTAATGTTCTGCTCTTATCTGCGATCCTGGCAGAAACTGTTATGTATACAAACGGAATAAGACAACCATTTCTTCTATTGTTAATTATTACATAACTGTATAGTACATGGCAGTTTCGTGTTATACATTCAACTCGAACTCATGAGGAAATTTACAAAAGTTTCATTGTGATATTCATAATCTGAGTAGCTGATTACATGTATTATTGATTTTAGTTGGTGTTGAGACATCTTATCGTACAAAGCGATCGACATATTTTTTTATTTTTATGTCTAATAAGAACTTGATTGAGTCTTTAGCTGTATTTATTTTATCTACTTCAAAGAATTACAATCCATGAACTAGTCAGCATCTATAATAAATCAAACGAGACCTTATTAACGTGTATAACCTGTATCCTTTCAGATCAGTATATATATATATAACTTGAATGTTATTTGAATACAAACAGAAGCACGTAAATGTTTGTTATAATGAGAAAAAGAAAAAATCTAGTGTCTATGTGGGTCTTTCATCCAAAGCATCGAGTTGAGGATCGATTGCTCCTAATAAAGCTTTAACAATGTAGTCGCCGTACGAAAAGGGATACTGATAGCCTCGTTGACGTTGTATTTCTTGTTTTTCTGTTCGATAATCATCGACAACATCAACATTTTGCATTTGTTTATCCCAATTTGACAGGTACGCAACAGATTCATTGTCATCTGTACACGCCAGAAAGGAAACATACGTTGTTTGAGCATTACGTTCATTACGAATAACATATTCTAACCCTTGAATATCAACTTGTCCTTGGTCATTAGTAGGAGCTCCATCCGTCGCAATAAAAATCAACAATTTCTTCCCTTGTTGTGCTTGACTACCTTTTGTTTGTAAGATATTTCTCAGCACTGGTACAATGGGTGTCATACCTTGTGGTTTTGAACTAAAACATTCATTCAGCTGAGAGATATTGGTAACATTTTGAACAGGTCGACGATTAAGAAAATAAATATCGACACCATTCGAATCGAATATAATACAAATATCGAGGATAATGTTGATAATTTGCTTTAGTTCGTCCCACCGAGTTTGCGATGTGGTTTCTAACGGTGTGTTCATCGACCCACTATCGTCACACAGTAAAAGAATTTCATAACCTTCTAATACTCGAAGTCGATTTACTAACGAAGGATTTATTTCATATCTTTGTGCAACTTGATTTATTCGTTGCATACGAACGTCATTACCGCCGGCATCGCCATACGTTGGGCGAGAACCTTGCTGATAGGGCGTCGAATAGTTACCAGGACGCTGTTGAGCACCTCCTTGATATGCAAAATCATTTCCATATCCACCTGGTGTTTGCTGTTGATAGGATGGGACTCCATATGGTGGTTGCTGATTGGTCTGTGAACCTGCACCTGAATACGGAGGACCGCTTAGATTCGATCCAGGTTGATACTGATTCGGTTGAGAGTAGCCGAATTGTTGACTGGGTGGATAACCTGATTGCCCAGCAGGAGGATAACTACTGCCTCCAGGTTGATAGCTTTGATAAGGAGCACCCTGACCGTAGCTGGTGCTTGACGGTTGACCCTGTTGATAACGGTCAGGTGTTGCTCCCATTCCTGTAGATCCATAGGGCGACGAAGTAGAGCCATAAGTACTCTGACCTTGCTGGCCTGGATGATAGGATGATGGTTGCTGCTGCCCATAAGATGGATTAGCCGAAGAGTAAGGATTGCTCGTTGAGCTTGGTGGTAAATAGGGATTATTCTGTTGAGTGGGATATTGTTGATTTGACGAATAGGACGTCGATGGTGGATACGGGGTATTTTGGGATCCAGGATATTGCTGTTGCAACGGTGGTGGTACACCCCACGGTGCTCCCGCTCCTTGCCCTTGTGCTCCACCGTAAGGTGGATAACCAGTGTTCGATTGAGAAGTCCCCGGGAGAGGTGGAGCACTAGGACCTGCGTTCGGATACATTATTTCGTTTCTATAATTAAAAATAGAACAAAATTCGACAGTTCAACTGTTGATTACTGTTGTTTTTTGTATTTTAAAAACCCAGCTATTATGAATGTGTCACGTCTGTGTGTTTATATGTAGTAAGCTTTTTTCTTTCTTGCTCTGTTTCAAAACGACATGTGATGATTCTTTTCCTTTTGCTTGTAAGTTATGACTATCAATATAGACGCGTCTCTCTTTTCATTTATTTGTTCTCTACTTTGTTCTTATAGTAATAATCACACTAGTCGACAATCAGCTCGATCTGAAAAGCTGAATCAGCTATGCAGTTTTGTCAGGGATGAATCACACCCGGAGTCAGCTTCGAAAAAAACTTAAAATTACTTTTCCAATAAAAAAAAGATTTCTTCTTTTTTTCTTCTTACTGATTCAGTACCGAATGTCCTATCAGTGTTTCCAGAGATGACTAAAGTGGCCCCATGATGCTGAGGACTTAGAAAGTGCACTTGATGGTAATTCTGAATCAGAGGATACGTATAAATGACGTCTAATCGATCCCTGATAAATCTACATAGCAGATTCAGCTTTTCCAACCAAGCTGATTGTCAACGAATACAACAAAAAAAATATTTTTAAGAATAAAAACAGAAAAAGAAAAAAAAAGCCCTTTGATTGGTTAACAAAAGGAGGACATACTAATGAAGAAAAAGAAATTCCTTGATTGTTTTGTCGACCTAGAATATATATCCAACAAATTTATAAGAGAAACAATTTCAGCATGTAAATAAAGAAAAAAAATCCGTTTGTATTTCTGTCAACACAATACGAAGATCCATTGAAATGTGTTAGATTACTGAAACGTGCTGTCACACTGGTGGAGTTTCTTGTTCTATTTCTTCCAAGATTCTTGTCTCTTGTCATTTCAGCCAAGAATCTTGTTAAATAGTTTGAAATCAAGAGAAGAACAGAAGAGTATCAGACAGTTTTTTCTTGGACAAGCAAAACAAAAAAATCTAATAATTTTCTCAAAAATATAGTTTTTTTACAAAAAAAACTTTCTTTAAATATTGTTTGATGAAACAGTATTATCATTTTGTTACAGACTGCAGTATGGATTGAGAAAGAAGATTTTGATCCGATGGATTTGGCAATTCATTAATCTCATCTTCTTGGGATGAGAACATTTGATAAGTATATAGCGGATTCTTTCAATGTACAATTATTTAGACTCTTGATTCAGAAATTCTGTTCTGAAACTGATAATTTCAGTTTTGAAAAAAATAAAATTGCTACAGAAAAACAATTGAAAATCAGGGGAAAATCTTAAAAATCAGTTCCTGAAATCAGGAGAATTTTCATCAGGAGAAAAGTCTAAAAATCAGAAGATTCGGGCACTCTGGTTTACATATACTTTTATTTCAAAATTCATGTTTGAAATCACAAGATAAAGTTCAGCTAAGGATCTTGTCTTGCAATTCGTAAAAGCATCTTACAAACAAAAAGAATGCATATATAATCCATTTTTTTTGTCTTCTTTTCTTTTCATATACATATGGGAGCTATAGCCTCTCGGACGCGAGTACAGGCACATATAAAAACTCGATTATTGTCTCTCGATAAGAATCTTGTGAGATTTAAAAGATCTTTTACAGATATCTATGTATAGTATTGAGTTATATTCTGTAATTTGTATACAGCACGGGAATTGACAAAACAAATTGGTGATTTTATTGTCAACGAATCTTGTCATTTCTAACAAGAATCTTTAACGAAAAAAAGATGAAAAATTGATAAAAAATGAAAAGTCTGTTTGTCTGATCTATCAAGATAAATTTAAAGATTCTTGTCTGAAATAGCAAGAGACAAAAAGTTGCACGAAATGGGACAAGAAAGTCGACTACTGATGCATCATCCATTGATTAGGATATGAATTCAACAAGCGACAAAATTCTCTGATTAATCAAATAATTTTATTACAAATATAATAGATCGTTACAGAGTAACAAAAGTGATCTCTATAATGAATTTATAACGCCTAATTATAAGCAAATACGATAAATAAGATTTTGAAAAACAAAAACATTAAAGATGTAATAACAGACGGCTCAAAATTCTAAAAGACTTTTAAGACTAATTTTTGTAGTTAAAAGACTTCATTTTGTGCTCGAGAGGTAAAGTATTATGCGCTCTACAAACCTTGGAATGTCTAACATTAGCGTATCAGTTCTGTATCAGAAAAAAAGAATATGTAGTATAAGCAGATAAAAAGTGAAATTGTGTATTGATTAAACAAAGATGAATTATAGAAATATTTAGCTGATTCAGATCAATATAACATACAACACTGTTTTTTCATATCGTTGCAAAAAACAAATGATGAGTTTTCGTGTGTAGTTTCGTTTTTGAAAAAGAACGAATGGTATTAGCTAAAATATGTAAACTGATCCTGCCATATATTGGTTTTAATAAAAGAAAATTTATTGTTATCTGTTGAAATTGAAATGAACTGATGAAACTATACTGTATGTGAAAAAATAAGATTTAAATTTAAATCGTATTATTTTCGGATGATTCGTATCAGAAGGAGAATTTTAAAAACAGTGAAGAATTGAATGATTACATCGTTCATTTGTTGTACAAAAAGGCGTTAGAATAATATCCCATTAATTGGGAACCCCATTCAGTAGTTAGCAATAGTTGTTAATACATACCATCTCACGGTGGACAATCACATGGAAATTAGGTGAAAAAACGAAAGCTACTTTTTTAATGATTTAAATAGTGTTTTATATACACTAGCCAATGGTCAATTTAATGGTGGAAAATATTTGATCCAAATGCTTTAAGTGGTCGAGATGGGTGAGTCCCAATTTTTTTCAATTTTTGCTACAACTCGACGAAAATCGTTTTCTCTTGTCAAATAGGCAGTCACTTAAAAATTGTAACATATATATTCTGAAAGCCGCGCACTTGGACTATTGATTCATAAAAAATATTTTGTCCGAACGGGTTTGCGAAAAGGAAAGAACATGATTTTTATCTGCACGAGATGTCTTTCAGAAACATGCGCCCAGTAAAATGGGCATGCCATCCACATCCAAGCTCTGTTTTCAATGAAACTTTCAGCAATTGTTCCTCTGTATGTGGCACGTCTAGATGGAATGCCCAAAGCTGCCCAAACATTTCTGGGCGAAGTTGTAGATTTTACAAAAACCCTGGGTTTTTATCGTTTTCTCACGTTTTTCTTCGTAAAAAAGCATCCTAGCTAAAAAGTAAGGACATATTCGGCATCAACGTCAAAAACTGCATCTAATGAATGATGTATCCTTTTACCTCTTTCAACGCATGTATGCTAAATTTTTCTGAAAATAGATTTTCCAAGATTTTTCTCTAAATTTAAAGCTACTGTTTTTTGCACGGCATCCTGAGCGTTCGAAAATTGTGAAAACTAGTTTTCTATAGATTTTCGGTCATAACGAATCTAATGATGTTGTTGAAAAACTTTCAAAGTGGTTTTTTGAAGGTTTTCAAGAGACTGGATCTCTGGAAAACCACCACAAAACCAGATTTTAGCTGGGATACAGATGCCATAAGAAAGACCGCACACGAAAACCTATTAAAAACAAATTTTTCGATTCAACCAATCGCTCTGAAACAAATTTTCACGTGCCTATTGAAAATTACCCACTGTGCACCTACCTACGACTTTCGTCTTAATTAGTTTCGGTTCAGAGGAGGCAGCTCAATCCTTATGTTAACTCTTTTCCAGGTTTTAAATATGATTTGATAGTTTCTGTTCTTTCAAGAAAATTACAGTTCATTTTCGTCAATCATATCGTGAAACATCGCGTGTCACATTACTAATTAAATCGGACTTTGGTGAATAATATGTCATAAAAAATTATCTGTAAGTCATTAATTTAATGAAAAGATCTAAACTTTTATAAAAAAAATAAGGTTCACAATTTATCTGGCATATTACTTTTGAAAACATGTTTTTATCACGTCTAGTAATCGTAGCTATATTGTTCAGTATGTTTGTTTTCTTATGTGAAAATAAATCAATTAGATCTGTTAGCAACGACGATCATTTTGAAGATGATTTAGCAGGATTTCATCATGCTAAAGCGCCTGGTTTGTTACAAACATCAGCAGACGAACCTTGGTTAAAACGACTTTATACTGTTTTATTCAAGCAAGATGACAAACGACCAATACATCATCGTTATTCGGTTTATTGGTGATCCATCGAAAATAATAATATTATTATTGAACTGTCTAGTTTTTTGTTGTGCTAAATGAAAATTAGATTACGTGAATTGAAAGAATAAGAGTATTCATAAGTGTATCGTTTGTCTGAATAAAATCTGAGGAAGTCATTTCCTAATTTGTTGATCTTTTCCTTCTTAAATCAAATAGTTTCTCAAATAAAGGACAGAAAACAAATCAAGATAGGAGTACTGTTTTCTTCCACATTCCAAATATCTTTCAGATATCTTCTCTCTTATTTTCTAGAAAAATGAAAAAAACTTGAGTTTTTGTAATGATTGATTTGTAATTCTTCTTTCAAAATTCCCACGACGATTCTGCAAATTTCGGCATATGAAGTGGCAACATTTGTAAGTAGATATCTTAGAATGTTTAATCAATAAATAATGCAATTTATCTGCACTACTAATCTGTCGTAGTTTTGGCGTAGATATCAAACTTCCTCGAAGTTTTACAAGTACTTTTCTGACATAATTAAAATTAGGAACAAAAGCTTCAACATTACTGACGCACAGAGCATAGAAAACTACGTAGAAGTCTCCAGTGGTCCGCTAAAAAAGTCATATTCTGCATGGCTTCTTTAGAGTGTCAAGTTCTGTTTCCCCCTAGTCATCGGTTCTTATATAAGAATCTTACAAGCATCTTAAATAAGATCTTCCACGAGAGTGACAAAAATTCTGCTGAATCTTATAAGAATCTCACCAGAATTCATAAGAAATTGGTAAGAGTCAGCAAAACTCGTACGTTAT